GACTGCGAAGGCCAATGTTGGTGCTGGCAAAAAGAAATGAAGTGTCTAGCAGTGAGCTGGAGATTGGATAACAGCCAAAGGAGTGAAGATTCTGCAATGACTTTATCTGCGGTGATTATGCGACTTTTTCGTGAGGATTAATAAACTATAAAACCTTAAAACAAAAAAACAAACAAAAAAATAAAAAGAAATAAAAAGAAATATTTTAAAAAATCTTTAGAAAAAAGAGAAATAAAGCTACTTTATGAAGGCCAGTTAATGATCATATTTATGGTAATTATAACAAAAATAGCTAACATTAAGCACTGAATATATGCCAAGCACTGAGGTAAACATTCTCATTTAAACAGTACTGTTCTTTTCTTGTACAAGAAAAGAAGAAGGCTATGGGTAGTTGTGGATAAATTTAACTCACCTGTGGAGCATCCAGATAGATGTTTATAATTGGAAATAGGAATCTGAAGTTCAACTGACAGTTTAAGGCTGGAGAGTTATCAGCATACGATTAGTCATTGAAGCTTTGGGATTCTGTGTAATACAAGAGTCACTTCAAGGAACATAGAGGAAGAGGAACTGGCAGAAGAAACATAGAAAGCAACAAAAATGACAAAATAAAATATATTGTTTTAAAAAGATAGCAAGAGCCAGGTGTGGTGGCACACGCCTGTAATCCCAGCAGTTTGGGAGGCTGAGACAGAAGGATCTCAAGTTCAAAGCCAGCCTCAGCAACTTCAAGGCTCTAAGTAACTCAGTGAGACCCTGTCTCTAAATAAAGTACAAAATAGGGTTGAGGATGTGGTACCCCCGAGTTCAATCCCCGCTACCAAATAAAAAAGATAGCAAGAGCAGAGCATGGTGGTACATGCCTATAATCCCAGCGGCTATGGATGCTGAGGCGGAAGGATCGCAGGTTTAAAACCAGCCTCAACAATTTAGCAAACTCCTAAGCAATTTAGCAAGATCCTGTCTCAAAATAAATAATAAACCAGGCAGGTGGTGGCGTATACCTGTAATCCCAGTGGTTTAGGAGTCTGAGGCAGAAAAATCTCAAGTTCAAAAATCAGCTTTAGCAATTAGCAAGGCCCTAAGCAATTTAGTAAGACTCTGTCTCAAAATATAAAAAGGGTTGGGGAT